GTGTGCTGTCTCTTATACACATCTAGATGTGTATACCTCCACTCCCACTGCCTCCCCCGCTCGCAATGCCTCCCCCGCCACGCACTGATGCGTGTGACTTTGTTCGTTGAATCAATCAATCAATCAATCAATCTATCAACCACTCAATCTATCAACCAATCAATCAATCAATCAACCAATCAATCAATCAATCAATTAATCCTTTTTTTTTCAAATTTTCACTAAAAAGAAAATTCAAAAACTTTTTTTTTTTAAATACAGGGGGGTCCCTCGCTGGCCCCCCCCCCCCCCCCCAAAGGCACCAACCCCCCCCCAAGTACCCCCCCACTAGCCCCTGGCACCTTCGTACGGGGGGCGACCGTACTGCCATAAAGCAGCCTGAACCACACCCCCCTAATCCTCTCGGGGACTTCACTGTTCAGTCAGGATCGAGATCAGGATTGGGAACGGGATCAGGATCGGCCTCAGGACCCGAGGACCTCATGGCCAAGAAGAAATCACAGCAGACAAGGTGTTAGTTCACCCTGGCCATCGTGTTCAACCTGTGTAAAAGAGGTGGAACGACGTCCTGATCGCGCGCTTGCCCCGCTGCACGTTAGGGTTGTTATAAACTTATAGTAGGGAGGACGAGGCAAGTAAAAAAAAGGTGCAATCATGTTGAAACTGCCGCCAATATCCCCACGGTCAACTGGGGAGGAGGTCCTCCCCCAGTCCAGAAAATGGAGCATGAGCAGCAATCAAGACCTTAGGAGCAAAAAGCAAACAGGACCAGGAAAGGGGCCAGGGTCGACCGGGGATGACCTCCTCCATCAGTCCAGAAGGTGGAGCCTGAGGAGCAATCAAGATCGCAGAAGCGTGATTGAAACAGGACCAGGAACAGGACCAGGAACAGGACCAGGAACAGGTGGTTCAGGATCCAGACCCGGATCAGGACCAGGGTTGACTGGGGACGAGCTCCTCCCCCAGTCGAGAAAGTGGAGCCTGCAGAGCAGTCTAAACATCAGAGGTCTTATCGACGCAGCAAGAGGAGCAGGAACAGGACCAGCGTCGACTGGGGAGGAGCCCCCTCCCCAGTCCAGAAAATGGAGCCTGCGGAGTGATCAAGACCTTAGGAGGAGAGTTATTGGAACAGGAACAGGAACAGGATCAGGACCAGGACCAGGACCAGGACCAGGGTCGATTAGTGAGGAGATTCTCTCCCAGTTCACGAAGAAGAGCCTACAGAGCAATGAAGACCTCAGCACCGTTAATGGAACAGAAACAGGACCAGCTACAGAACCAGGCACAGCACCAGGAGCAGGAACAGGACCAGGAGCAGGACCAGGATCAGGAACAGGACCAGAACCAGGGACGAGGGATGGCTTCGGAGATGGCTGGGCAGACGAGCTCGGTCAGCAGGAAACAGACAGGCGATCCAGCTTCGACGAGAATGATGGACATGAAGAAATCCCTCAAGCGGTCAAGCGACGATCCCCTAGAGGATTTTCATATTCGGATTCGAACTCGGATTATTCCTGTCGAGAAGCTGATTCGAGTCGAGATGAGGAGAAGAGGGGGCAGAAACGGAATTTGTGCAACGATGGAGGGGGGGGGGCAAAAGCACCGCTGTTGTTCCTTGGGCGCCACGTGGCAACCATGCACTGGCGTCAGCAGGCCTATCGTGCGGCACACATGGATCCTGAGATGACCAGGTACGGCCCCACGAAGCCGACCAGGTTCCGCTCAGCTGTGATTTACTGCGAGGTGAAGCTGGCAGAAATGCTGTACAGGGCGGCAAGGATGAACGCAGCAGCGGCCACATCGGACACATCAGACCTGGGCTCCCCTGGGGAGGACCATCCTCCACGTGGCCGAGCTCCTGATGTCTATCGAACGGCTGTGTGTTGTCAATTACTTGGCGAGATCTCGCAGATTCCCATGCCTTTCGCTCACGTTTTGGCGGCAATTCGAGATGAGCTGGCGCGGGCCATTTACAGCAACTACTACACCTCTGAGGATGGCTCTCTGTTGTTTGATCAGATCCCGTACTTCGTTGTTGTGGCGAAGGTGGAGGAAGACAAACGTGAGATGGAGCAGGAGAGGGAGGCTTGGAGGAACACTCTGGTGGAACGACAGGCTGACGTGGAGCGCATTGAGCAGAAAATTCATGGGCTCGAAGCCCGCGTCCAATCCACGGAAACGCTAAATGTGGAGTTGCTGACAAAGCTGTCGGCAATGCACGAGGCCTACGAAGCGGCAAAAGCGGAAATTAGGGTGTCGCGGGAAGAACTGCGGACGCTCAAGCGGGAGCTGATTCGCGCGCGGGACGAGGTTCAACGGGCAATTCAAATCGAGCGGGAATGTCTGGCGGAACGGGAAGAATTCCAGAAGCTCAAGGTCACCCATGCCCAGACAGTCAACGAGCTCAAACGGACCCAATCAATCTTGTATTCGGAGCGAAGAGAGGCGGCAGACAGCGTTCCTAAAAAGGAAATGGACACAGCGCAGATGATGATCCTGGACTTGCAGACCAGATTAGCCCAGGCCAAATCGGGCCAGTCCCGACGAGGCCAGGCCATGACCCCTAGACCTAACTGGCCCGCAATCCGGGCTGGAGCGTCGCAGCTGCAGTTGTCCCAGTCCACCTTGGACCAGGCCACGGACATATGTATGCTAAACGACCAGCTAGCCTTGCAGGTGGAACGATTGACAGAGGAAGGCGAGAGCATGATGCTGCGCTTCTCGGAGGTTCAACAGGCCATCAAGGAGAGGGATGACCTGCTGCAACCGGACCCGGACACCTTACCGAGCTCTGTGCGGACACTGACCGAGATCATTGCAAATATCGGCAAAGACCCCCACATCAGGACCTTCGGTATGGGTGTGAATTTGCCCCGGTACCTTCGCACCTCCATTGGGTCTGTCCTGATGAAGGTCATGCCTGACGACGAGCTGCGGGTGTTCACCACCCAGTTCTGGTCAGCCAAGGCCCAATATGATGCTGGCAAAGGGGCCAGACTGCCAATCTCCCAGTTTCTTTACTTGTTCATGCATCGCAGGTTGGGAGGGGTGCATGACCAGATTGTAGCTTTCTGCTACAATCTCCTGCTCACCCTGAACAGGAACCTCAACCTCCTCCCCGATGCCGAGGTTCTAAAATTAGCGCTGTATGGAGACCTGAGCGAGGAGGTGTATTGGGACAGAGTAAGGATGCTCAACGGCCTCCACCACCTCTTCAGGACGATATCTGATAGCTATCAAGTCGCCCTCGAAGGTGATCACATAGCCCCCCAAGGCGAGCACAGTAGGCAGGGACTTGTGCATCTGTCTGATGCCCTTGAGGCTATTGATTTGTATTTCCCCTGCAAGCAACATGACCTTAAGGGGGTTCTGAAACTGGCTCTGCACGAGGGCGTGGACCTCGACAAACGAGTGGTCTCCATCCGTGATCGGTTTGCCCCGACAGAACTCTTACTACAAGATAGCTTCTTGACACTCGTAGCAGAACAACATTTGCAGGAGATCAAGGAGTACATGAGGCTTGTGCAGAAAGAACTGGTGGACATCGTGGACACGAAAAGGGGTGAACAATCCAGAGTTCTTCTCAAGCACATTTACATGGCAATTGAAGGAGTTGATCCTTCACAGCCGAAGGCTGAGATCGATTCATTTGTTGCCTATGGAGCTAGCCTGGGATCCATTTCTGACGTCGCAATTGCTTGCGATGCTGGGGAAGATGTGGACCTACGGGATTTCATGGTGCGGCTCTTCCGTCACGGGCTTGTTAAGAAAGCAAGGAACTTCGACCTCAGCCCAATTGCAAAATACCAACAGCACGGCGAGTTCTCTCGCATAGCCAAAGGTCCTAGCAGTGAAGGGGGCTTGCCGGACCCGGCCTGAAATGACAAGCCATCGATATGAGGGGGGCTGCAGTGCGGTGGGCATACGTCAAGTCCGCTCTGTGGTTGAGAAGAGCACAAAATTATGGCGAAAAGGTTGTTATCCGTCACATTTGCTAACACGTCTCATCTGCATTCCTCTAAAACATCGAGTAGCTGGGTCTTGGCTTTGCCTTGTCTGCCTCTCAGCATAAGGAAGACATTTGGTGCAGCGCAACGTTCCCATAGCTTGTTTGACTTGCTGCTGAGGCACATGATGATGAAATGAAGTAGGATCCAAAGAAAGGAGAGCGCTGGCCGTTATCGTGAGGATGATAGCTGTCACATTGACGGGAATGGCCACCATGTGGCAACGGCCACGACAAGAAGAAGGAGAATAACAATAACAATAACAATAACAATAACAATAAGAAGAAAACAGGAGAGGAGTTGACCAAGAGTAGGAGGAAGAGGAGGGGGAGGAAAAGCAGTGAAGGAAGGAAAACGAGGAGGGTGCAGGATGGTGGTCGTCCGATGAGAGGGAAAAAATCGGTGATGGAGATGAGAACTGATGTTCTGGGTTTTTGCCCATCCCCTTGAAGGCATCGGGCAGTTATTTTGGGAAAGGAAAGAATTGATTGATTAATAATTTAATAATGATTATTCAATCATTATTGTCATGTGATTTTCCATTTTGATTCGACTGGAAGCTGCAGAGAGCTCCACTTCCCACGGACTGGGCATGCTACTAGGGAATTGCCTGGTGTTTAGAAGCTCAAGCGTTTCAGTACTTTTCTCTCTTTCAGTCTGTAATGTTGTGGCCCTTTGTGGGGACCGTGCGTTGACAAATTTCTAAGGCTTCCTTTAGTTAGTAGGGCATGCATTATGGTCAACAAGATGGAAGGGTCTGATCGTAGAGCTAATCAACGCAAGGTCGTAATGTGGGGGTTCTTTTCCTTTCTGTTTATCCTGAAGGTTGAAAAGCCTACTGCCTCCTACTGGCCTGCCGTCTTCACCCGAACCAAACTCCCGGTCATTATCCCTGTATTTGGGGGCAACTTTCAGTCCAGATGCAGCGATAATGACTGGGTGTTCTGTTCAGGTGAAGACGGTAGCGCTGGTTCAGCACATCAGAGTCCGATGCACAACCGATTGGCAGAAATGGGCTCACGAGAGTGGTGGTACAGGGCACAACTCCGCAGAAATGGGCCCACGAGAGTGGTGGTTTAAAGTTTAAACTTTAAACCATTATTATTCCATCTGGAACTATTTTGACAAACCACAAGTTTCCTTTCCCCCAGCCTAATCTACATTGCCACTGTGAGGAAAAATAATTGCGGTACCCTTCCCCACTGAACCTCTACTGGGCCTGGGCACTGTAGATTTTGGCCTGGTACTTGTAGACAAGAAAAATGAACACTGCAGGGGCTGTTGTTGAAGTGGTGGCTTAAACCACCAGCAGGGTTGCCAGACAGGGAACCCACATGTGGCATGCGGGGTTGTGCCCTGTACCACGAGGCCTCCACCCAGGGGAGGAGGCAGGGATGGCTGCGATCAGACTTTGGGGTTCTGAGAAAGTCTCTGTGTGTTCCCCGTGGGCAGAAAATTGGAGAACTGCAGAGACATGCAGGGTTTGAGGTTGGGGAGGCGGAAAGTGAAAACCCCCAGCACCAGGAGCCACCAACCCCACCCCAGCCCACCACCCAGGCTCCCCGCTGCTCCTGTCCCTTCCCCCACAGTGACTTGGCCCGCCACCCGTGCACCACCACCCCCGCCACCACTTCTGCTCTCTGAAGAAGTGTGTGACGATAAGACTATATCACACAGTCCTGATAATGTGCCCTTAGCAGAAAAACCCAACCTTGGCATGCTATTTTTCATTTCTGCCCCTCAGCTGCTTCGGTATTCAAGTGCAGGTCAGGTATGCCAGGACTTCGTGGGATTTCTCTTCCCCGCAACTTTTGCACTGCTTCTATTGCTAAAAATTCACAGTAGATGCAAGTGCTAGCGTGTTTGTGAGCACCTTGCCTGCTCCGTCTTCCCCTCTACCGTCCGTCCCATCTTCTTTCCTTTGTCGTCTTTCCTTTTTTGCATCATTTTGTCTCCTTCATCGCTTCCTTGCTTTCCATTGTCTGCGGACGAGCTGGTCAGATCGAGCTGTCTGAAGGGTACAACACCACAACTGAATAAGAAAATCCCAAAGGAAAAGGCACCTAAAATGAATATTTTATAATTTTAATCCAGCCTCTGCACCATATAAGTAGAAATGTGAACACAGAACAGCTCCCTAGGTTGGATTCAAACCAAGAACCCAGTAGATAGGGTAAGCAGTGTGTGTAATCTGACTAAGCCTCCCTAACATGCAGCTTTTTGCGAAGGCCACACGCGACTAAGGACCTCCCTCCACTATTTCTTTTTTTTGTTGGAAAACCAGCGACCACTACTAGAGAGGGTTGATAAGAGCAGCCGCCTCTAGTAGCTGTTCCTGGCTGCTCCATCTATTGGTGGGGAGCTGCACCTGCTGGAAACCGGGTCCAGCGTCCCTGTATAACAAGATCCTCCACGAGAATGTTCGAGAGCAGTCCACCAGCATTGATTACCCCGGGATACCCAGGGGGATTGAATGAGCAGTTAGGAAGGTTATGGAGACAGAAGTGCCTCTTCAACCCTTGAGCAGGGCGCCTCATCTATCCTGGTGTATCTAGCATCTTCCACCGCCATGAGTGTATGGATAGTAATTAAAAGAATGAAGATCCTTTTGCTGCTAGCTGCTGTCCCTTCCTCCAGTCGCTGCTTGGCCAAGCTCTGATCTTCATATTCTCCTGCCAATGTCCACTTGGTTCCGGTGTTGAAGCTGTTCCTCCCCGGGAGGCACAGGGGGTGGATGATGGGTCTTGTCTGTAGCAGCGGTTGTGCTCACATCTGAATTTCCTCCAACGAGACGGGGTGAGGCGAGAAGGGGTCAGGTAAATCAGATGGGGGTCTCATTGGGAAGGAGGGCCCTGTTTTACCAAGTCTGCCTGGTCACCCCCCCATTCTACCCGAGCTATCCATCCCTCCCGCTGATCCCCTAGGCAGTCTATGCAGAATGCTGTAATTGCCTGCTTGATATCCTGCTTAGTCTGAAGGATGTCAAGTCGTGATTTAAGAGCTTGCATCAGTTCAAGCTGGACGAGTTTCTTCACTTGCCCTGTTAACTCAGACCCTTCTATCTTCACCCCTTCCATCATCAAGAGGCAGCGCTGCCACCAAAGGGCCCAAAGGACTGACCTTCTTCCTACACTGTGCAGGTTGCTTGTGAAATTAGGGGAGGCTACCATTGATGGGCAATGTCCTGTTAATATGGTCTGCCAGGACCAAGGCCAGTGAGTGTTTGGTACTATCTTGCGCCAAATGCGGTCCCACCATCGTCGTGTAAACAATGCCACCAGGCATTGCATGAAGATGTATCCGATGGTCTCTTCCCGCTTTCGTGAGGCGACACCATGGAAGTGCCTTCCCTTTTTGCTCCAGGTGGGTGTGGTCGATTAGCTAGGCATTTGTCGGTAGGCAGCGATGTGCTATCTGCCATTGTAGGGACGTGACCTTGGCCGGTTTAGCTTTACCCTCTTGGAACCATTTGATCGGCGTGAAGAGGGTCTGGTCGACGTTAAGTTGTCTGGCCCACCTGTCAATGATCCGGTCTCGTTGGGGCCTTTTTTTGGGTCGGAGCATCCTATACAAGGATTTGACTGATAGGTTATGAAGCTGGACTGTGTTTCGGGGTGTAACTGTTGGTCCTCTGACTGTCTGCCATTGCCAATCATAGGGATCAATGGGCGGGTCATGGATGTGTGTCCGGGGTTGGAAGGAGACGGCCTCGTCACCTTCTCCTATCACCTTTATTCTGAACATCCGTGTTTTCTCCTGCCATACAAATGGGTCTCGGGATCCTTGGAGTGTGCCCCTTGGACCCATCTTATAGTGTCCCACCGGCGATTTTGAGGAGCGTATCATGTGGATTCTGCCAATCCGACTCAGATCCCTTGGCAAGGCAACCGAGTCCCCTTCTTATAGTGTGGGCCCTGGTCTCAACAGCTTGTACCATGCCAACGGAATTGCTTCAATGATCATTTTCAGGTGTCTGTCTGTGTGGTGACAGTAACGGAGGGTGTCCTGGAGTTGGGTTGCTGTCTTCCAGTCGTTCCTCTCGTTGTCCCAGAGATGGCCGACTCAAAGTATCTCATATTTTACCCATCCTTTCCATGGGGCCATTGAGCTACACAGGATTTTACCGTGGCGGGGTGCAATCCTCCGATTTTCGAAAAGGGGCCGACGATAAACTTCCTCCCACCTTTCCGGGGCTTGTGCATCGGGAGGGGGGAGACGACGCCAACTCTTCAATAGCGTGGGCCATAATTTTTCCACCGGTCGGCCTTGGATTTTACGGGGAATCGACCAGTAGCGGTCCTCTAGCCATGCTAGGGGGTGTACTTCTGAAGGAGTCGGTGGGGCCAGGCGGGCGATGTGCTCAAGGGCCAGGGCCTGCCAAGGGCAATCCGACGCGAAGATAAGTTTTTGCAGCCATTTTAGGCGGAGAGTTTGGGTCTGTGTTGGCGGGTCTATGATTCTTAGCCCCCCCCCTCTCTTTTGGTTGTACGACTGTTTCCCATGCTAACCGACTAATCGCGTTGGCCCTCTCATCATCCCCCCGCCATAAGAAGGCTGCAACTTTTGCTTTGAGAGCCTGGGAGGCGGCTTTACTTAGTGGCCATAGGACCGACTTATACCACAACGTGACAAACACAACGTTATTGATAGCCAGTGCGTGGCCGAAGATTGAAGTGTGTTTGTTCCGCCAATTTGCCAATTTGACAAGTGCTGGTGCACAGATCCAGTCATCATTGGTCGAAGGGCGCTCTTGGGCTGTCATGGTGACACCTAGGACGCGGACCGGTGCGTCCAAAGGAAGCCATGATATCCTGGGGGAGTCCGGCGGTCGTCCGCTTGGTGGTGGATCCACCATCCCTGGGTTTTGCTCCCCCAATTCACCACCATGTCAGATACCCGAACGAACCTGTCCATTAGTTTCTTGATTTCTTCCATGTTCTTTTTTGTGGCATCGACCATAATAGTGAGGTCATCCGCAAACAAGGAGCACACCGGGATTGCCTCGTCAGGGATTCGAGCGTCCGAGCTCTGGCAATGTCCTTATTGGTTCGGAGGTTCGCGGATAGGGCTTCCATGATTACAAGAAAAAGGAAGGGTGCAGTGGGGTCGCCTTGATGGACCGATCTTTCGAGTCAAATCGGTGGTGCCTGGGAA